GGCAGTTAAAACTCAGAAGGAGTGTCTCTCAGCTGTGGAGGTTCCCCCTGAGTAGCAAGAGATCCCAGGCTCCCATTGGGCTCCCCAGCCAAAGCACTAGTGGCAGGAAGAGGAGTCCCCACAACATGTGGTGAATGTTGGATCCTCTATAAATAACATCTGTTTTCTGCCTAGATACTCTTAACAAATTTTCTATATCCTATATAATAAAACCCTAATATGCAAATCGACCAAACAGCAGAATGACCAGTTGCTATGATGTGCACTGACCACCAGGGGGCAGATGCTCTATGCAGGAGCTGCCCCCTGGTGGTCAGTGCACTCCCACAGGGGGATCACCGCTCAGCCAGAAGCTGGGCTCATGGCTGGCAGGCGCAGCAGCGATGGTGGGAGCCTGTCCCACCTTTGCAGCAGCGCTAAGGAACAGCTAGCCGAGAGGTAAGGAGCAGTGAGCAGGCGGGCAGTAAGGAACGAGGGGTCCTGGACAGTGAGAGGGATCCTGGACTGCAAGAGGGCTGTTCAACTGCTGGCTTAGGCCTGATCCCCAGGATCCTGGACTGCAAGAGGGTGCAGGCCGAGCGAGGGCCCACCCCCCAGTGCACCGGGCCTCTAGTTTTTAAATAAAAGGAAAAAAAGTACTTGTATATAGATATTAAACCTGTTTCATTACTTTTTTCCTGTAAAATGTAGCATTACATTTATAGTAATCAAATGAACATAACATGTATGTAATAAAATGACTTGTAACAAAATGTAAGTGGTACAAAAGAGTACCATATTGGTATCTATTCTTTTATACTCTGATAATATAAAATTACATTTTCTATCTACAAAACAAATTTCAACTAGAGGATAATGGTGAAAAAACTATTTAACTCTCTCTTAGGCAGTGATTCTTTCTGAAATAAGTATCTTTATTTAGTGTGGTAAGTTGTTAGCCTTCAAGAAGAGTATTCATGAAATTATTTTATGTATTGTCTTTGTAAGGAAGGATGCAGGAGAGAAAGATACAAAATACCCTCTCTGACCTCTTTCTCCTGATCTTTATTATTTTTCAGTCACTCTTTAAAAGAGAATGCGGAGATTTAAAGGAACACTTATTAGCTTGAATAAGTGGTATTAGTTTTCTCCATTTGGAGGGATGCTATGTTATTTCTCTATTATTTTATACCCACACTGTCCATCTACCATGAAAACGAGTTTTTCTACTCTTTTCTCTGAAATTTTCTGGAGGAATAATCTGAGAGTGAGATCAAATTGGGTCTTTAAAATCTAGATACTTATCTTGCTCAATGCAGGCCATGTAGCATTCCTATTTGTCTATTTTAATATCCCACAAAGGAATACCTTTGTAGTTTGCTGATAAACTTTTCATTGAAGTCCAACATCACTTACAAAATTCATTAAGGCTTAATTTAAGAGAGAGAAAATGCTTTGGCTATAGAACACAAATAAAAATATTGATTTATTTATAGCACTATATATATATATCTTCTCAGCTATAAAAGTCCAGTTGTTGTGATTCCTTATTCATTTGTAGAAATCTTGTTCTTTAGAGATGTAAATTAGAACAAACGAGTTACAGTTCTGGAGCAACTCTTATGCACCTGAATTACTAAAGTCAGTAAAAATGAACATAGATATTAACCCAAAGTGGATTTTAAATAAACAGTTTATTAAACCACTCGTTCTTTTACTTTCAGTTTACCGTAACTCACATAACCATTGGGCTATGATTGATTAAGGCAGTGTACTGTGGACTACAAATGAGAAAACTTGTTTTCCTATCATGGCTTTGCTCACAGCCACTATCAGTTCTGTGCGTTTTGTTTCCTTCTGTATCCTGCATTCCGTGATGCTACCCTTCTCATCACACTCAACATGGTCACTCCCTTGTTATTTATTCATTTAAATACTAGTTCAACACATATAGCAACTTTGGAACATTATTATCAGATGCAGTTCTTGGCGATGGGGAAAATCGTGCGGATGTAAGGAGGCAACACTCCAGGCTTCATAATACTTACAAGTTCTCAGAAGTGAAATAGACAAAAAACAACAACAACAACAACACATTTGAACAAATAGAGAAAAGTGCAGGGTAAACTAGAAGCACAAAAAGAAATAGGAGGCAGTAATCTAAGAGCTGGAAAACTTTCAGGAAGAAGTGATTTCTAATGTACTTTAAACTAACAGTGGGGAAGAAGGGTCTATAGAACTGAGGAGATGGCAAACGCAAAACTCTAAGTGAAAAGGGCAAGGTCCATGCATTGAACCAATATAAGCTCCATGAAGTCTACAGTGAGGAAATCTTCAACTCTGAGCTTCTTTAAAATTTTTACAGCCTGCCCACATGGCTCAGTGATTGAGGGTCAACCTATGTAGCAGGTCACTGTTCAATTCCAGGTCAGGCACATGCCTGGGTTGCAGTCTCCATCTCCAGTGTGGGGTGAGCAGGAGGCAGCCGATCAATTATTCTCTCTCGTTATGGATGTTTCTAGCTCTCTCTTCCTCTCTGAAATCAATAAAATATATATCTAAATTAAAAAATATATATTTGAATTGATTTTTATAGAGAAAGGAGGGGAAAGAGAGAAAGAAATATCAAATAGCTGCTTCCTGCATGCCCTCTACTGGTGATTAAGCCCAACATGTGCCCTGACTTTACTGAACTGCCAATCTTTCCTCACACAGGACCACGCCCAACCAACTGAGCCACACTGGCCAGGGCTAAAAATTAACTTTTTCCCCCTTGTATTCCCAGACTACTAGAGACATTAAAATATGCTCGGGTTCATACAGTTCAGAAGTATGCCGTCTTATACTACAATTAAATAAGTTTATCATGGGCAATTTCATGTTTTCATTTTCTTAAGATTCAAAGATAATTCCTAAGAATTGGAGAATAAAGAAAAGGGCACACATAGCAAATGGAAGAAGTATTTGGATTATTAATACAATATTGTTGCCAATATTTTTAAAATAATAGGCATTCATTTATGCTCTGAACATTGTGTTCTTTAAATATGTATTTGGAAGTTATAATCTTGTACCAGGTTATGAATCTATATCATTTCACAGCACTCTTTACCAGAAATGGCTGTTTGAAGTGTTTCTCTTTTTCTCATAAGTAAGTGTGGCAAACTCCAAATTCATAGCCTAACTTTTGTTTTCTATGGCAGTGACACATAAATTGTAAGAAGGGTTTGAAGCAGTATAGTAGTTAATAAAAGAGGCAACAATAAAAAAAGGCAACTCAATTTCAAGAAGAGCTGTTTAAGCTCAGTGAACAGTGTCAAAAATATGCTGGCTCCACTTAGGAATATATCAAGTACACTCCTCATTGCATTTCAGTAGACTGGACTGGAGAAATGAAGAAGGGGAAAGACTGAAAGATTGGATCAGATATTTCTGCTCAATTCATCAATACATTTGAAAATGAGAAATACCACTAAAGAATCAGTAGTTCATAAAAATGGACTATAATCCATATGGCACCAGAGCTTATGCTTATTAAATCAATGAAATGTCTTAGTATAGTGTAAAATCTGTTAAAAATCAATAATAATAGTAATACTAATAATACCGTTAATGGCTACCATTTTAGAACATCTATCAAGTGCCAGTCATTCTAATTGGTAATTGTCACTTGAAGTACTTAGTTTCAAGAGAAATAACAAAATTGCCCATTTAAAATTAGGCAAATGGGGACTACCACCATTACATCTTACCATGGAACCACTTAGGTCTCAGAAGACAAGTTCCTGTTTGCTAGGCCAGATAATTTTTACTGAAACTATACTTGTGACTAGTGGCTATGCCATATAATCTCAAAGCATTGGTTTTTTATTGACTTTGAAATTTCTAGGGAAAAATAGCACATATATTATTCTATATCTTTTTACTATAATAAAAACATCCCCAAAGTGTTTTATTTATTTCTTTACCACCTCCTAATCTTATGAGAATATTGGCTCATTTCACAACACTTATACATGCTACTTAAATCCGTCTACTTAAATTGTTAATGTCAACTGGATCTGAACACTATCTGTCCTTTCTCTTATTATTTTCTAACAAAGAAACTTGTGTTTTCTAACTTTCTCTAAAGTCAGTCTTGTAGGCTTCTTATAGTAAGAGATAATAAGTCAATCAGTACTAGGTTTGCCAAAGCATTGATTATTAAAGAAAACTGTACTCAATGTCACTTTCGATCTATATATATAAAACCCTAAGCGACTGTTTGGCTGTTCGACCAGTTGACCATTTGACCAGCTGCCAAGACATGCATTGACCACCAGGGGACAGATGCTCAATGCAGGAGCTGCTGCCTGGTGGTCAGTGCGCTACAACAGCAGGAGCGCCACTCAGCTGACAGATGGATGCCAGATGCCCGGCTCACAGCTGGCGAGAGCAGCTGCTGTGTCGTGAGCCTCTCCTACTTCTGCAGCTGCCCTCCTGGGTGGTGGCAGCAGGCACAGTGGGGCCAGGATAAGTGGGATCTGCATGGCACCCGGCCCGGGCTCGGGCTCCTCCCTGGCCACCTGTCACTTCGCACATTCTATGTCCCTTGAGGGATGTCAGACATCCCCTGAGGGGTCCTGGATTGTGAGAGGACACAGGCCAGGCTGACAGACCCCACCGGTGCATGAATTCATGCATCAGGCCTCTAGTTATATCGTACTAGGGGCCCGGTGCACAAATTCATGCCCCTTAAAAGGAACTGTGGGCCCTGATGTTGCAGTGGGCACAGAGGCATGTCTCAGCCTATCCTCTGGGCCCCTGCCTGGCCCCTCTTGCCACAGCCCCCTGTCCTGGGTCTGCTGGCAGCCTGCTCCCGCCACTGTTGCTCCCATGTACTAACGGCACCGGGCTACTAGCACCTGCTGACACTGATGGTGTGGAGCAATTGAGGCCGGTGCCAGCAGCTGGTGCGAGCGGGGCCGGCGCTATCAGTGGTGCAAGTGGTGGCTGATGCTCTGATAGCCCCTCTGAAGCAGGGGGAGGTGGAGAAGCCCTGAGGAGTGATCAGGGTCCACAGTGGGTGCGGGAGGTGGCTCCGGCACCAGCAGCAGGTGCAAACAGGACTGGCGGCGGCAGCTGGTGCTAGTGCTGGGCGGTACCGCAGTGCATGGGAGTCAAGAATTTTCAGTAACCATCAGAGGCTCACCCTGATGACAGCAACCAGTGCCCTGCCTTGGTCTGGCACCCCCGCTCACCTGCTCCACCATCCCTCCATGGACAATGCCTGCCATGTTCCGCGCTCTGCCACCTGCTGCTGACACCCATCATGTTCCGCTCATGCCCCCTGGTGGTCAGTGTACGTGATAGTGACCAGTTGTTTGGTTGTTTGGTTGTTCTGCTGTTCACTCTACTTGCATATTAGTGTTTTATATATATAGATGATGGGCAGTGCAGAGGTAGCAATCTGCCTTAAAGCAAACAGTAAGGGAGTGCATGGTTGTACATAACTTAAATATAAAAGAACAAAATAATATCAAAATAAAAGATGTTCTATTAGTATATTTTTATTACCACAATGGTCCAGCAATTTTGAACAATATGAGTAATAAAATACTTTTCCCTAAGAAATCTTTTGTCAGTTTAAGTTAAAAATATTGTATGGCCCTAACTGTTTTGGCTCAATGGATAGAGCATCAGCCTGCAGACTGAAAGGTCTCAGGTTCGATTCCAGTCAAGGGCATGTACTTTGGTTGTGGGCTCATCCCCAGTAAGGAGTGTGCAAGAGGCAGCTGATCGATGTTTCTCTCTCATCGATGTTTCTAACTCTCTATCCCTCTTCATTCCTCTCTGTAAAAAAATTCAATAAACCATATTTTAAAAAATTGTATGGGTGTAGTCTAATTTAAAAAAACATACATATGTTGCCCTGGCCATTTTCTGGGTTGTGGGCTTGATCCCCAGTAAGGGACAGCTGATCAATGTTTCTCTCTCTTACTCTCCTTTTCTCTCTCTGTAAAATTAATTAAATATATATTTAAAGCCGAAACCGGTTTGGCTCAGTGGATAGAGCGTCGGCCTGCGGACTGAAGGGTCCCCGGTTCGATTCATATATATATATTTAAAATAAAAACCATTTATATGTGCTTCTAATTGACATATTATATTATGTAACTTTTATTAAATACTAGAGACAAGTGTACAAATCATGCACTGGTGGGGTCCCTAGGCCTGGCCAGCAATCGAGGTCTATTGGGGGCTGGGCTGGCCTTGGGGAGAGGCCTGGGGAAATTGGCTGGCTGATTGTGGGCTCACCAGCCAGGGGGAGGGACCATGAGAGGTTGGTAGTCAGCCCCCCAACTGGAGCTGATGGGAGGGCTAGTTTGCTCAGGGGAGGGGTTGTGGGAGGTTGGCCAGCCAGGAAGAAGGGCCACAGGAGGTTGGCCAGCTGACCAGAGGGAGGGGCCGCGACATAGTGACTGGTTGACCAGTGGTTTGGGTCGTTTGGTCATAGCAGTCATTTAGGCTCATATATATACATTGAGTGGCCAGATTATTATGAACACCTGACGTTTGTAGGCAAATTAGCTATAATTTCGCGCTGAAGTTGCTAGAGGCCAGACCATTATAAATAGGGAAGCAGGTTGCTTACCATGACAGTAGAAGTGATTTTTTTTTCTGAAGACATGGGTAAACAACGCAATTTAACAGCCTTTGAATGTGGAGTATATGTATAGATTGTATACTCATAGAACTTAATTCAGAGAATTTCCAGTTATACAGTAGACTCTCAACACAACTGAACTCAGATATAGTCATTCTCCAAATTAAGCTTCTAATAATTTGTAATAATTTGAATTCCCTTTGGATAGAGTATGTGTCACCAACAAATGAGAAGTACATGTTACAATTTTCAAAGGTGACACAAAAAACAGTAATAGGTCAATAAATATATAGATGAAGAAATTAAATTATGTCATTCTGTATATGTGCTGGAAGTTTTGGATTTTACCTTAAAACTTAATAGAGTGAAGTAATATGTGAATTAAAAGGAGTACATTGTTCATTTGATAAATTCAAATTAGTTCATGTATATACTTTATTTATTTTAATAATATATTTTAAATTTGGTTTTACTATTCTAATTGTTAATGTTTTGTTTAAAACAGAACACAAATCATAAAAGTAAAATGTCACACCAGTGGAGCAATTCAGTACTTACTTAAATTAAACATTTTATCTTTTGCTTGTAATAAAATATACTTCTTAACATATGATCATTTAAATAAATTATTATATCAGACTGTAACTTAAGGATCAAATTTTATGGTGTTCACATGAAAGTAAACTGTTGACTACATGGTTATGCTTTTATTTCTATTTTCTGCAGGAATTTGGAAGAGCCTGAAGTCATTTGCTATTTTATTGTGAAACCGATAGCTTGTTCATAGTTACTCTAAGTTTTATAGGAAATTTTGAAGTGAGGAACTCTTATCAACATAAAACAATATAATTCTAAAGTACAACAACAGCAAAAAAGCCATATGGAAAGTAATTACCACATTGAATCAACTTTGAAAAGTGTAATACATTTAATATTTCATATAGTTCTTAAAAATTTGTAGGAAATTTAGGCTTGCATATCCATAGAAGAAACAAGATAAAATTTAAATGATACAACTCTAGCAGGTTTGGCTCAGTGAATAGATCATTGGCCTGTGGACTAAAGGGTCCTGGGTTTGATTTAGGTCAAAGGCACATGCGCGGGTTGCTGACGCTATCCCCAATAGGGGGCGAAGTGTGCAGGAGGCAACCGACCAATCATTCTTTCTCATCATTAATGTTACCATCTCTCTCTCTCCCTCTCTCTCCCTTCCTCTCAGAAATGAATAAAAATATATTTTAAACAATTTTAAATGATACGGGTAAAATATGAAAATGAATAATTTTTTAAACCTTAATAATTTTGAAGAGAAAAAAAGTACTATCAAATGTCAACCTAATAATAATAATAAAGATATTCTTGCAAAGATCGAGACTAAGACTTTGATGAAGGGATATGATAAATAAAGCTTTAATGCATTGTCATGTTACTACTTGATCAGTAATGGTTCTAGTGGATTGGGAGTTAACCTGGTTAAAAGTTGAACCACATAAGAAATATTGTTATGTAATTGAGTGAGAATGAGAAAAATACAAAGGCAGAAATCAACTCTTTCAACTTCATGATTTTATAGACTTTACACACTATCCATAACGTGGAAAAGTGTTGAGAGTTTATGTAAGTTGTTTGAAATGAAGAAAACAAATTTCTTTTATTTGTTTGTAGATAATGAGACAAAATCTGAAATGTCCAACATAATAAATTACTTAAGTATGATGGAAACATACCCCCTGATGTTGAGACATCTGAACAATATCTATCTTTTTACAAAATGTAAGATTTTGGCAACAGATCTAAAAACCAGTCTATAGTTATATATAAATACATAAAATGAGGACTTTTCAGATTACATTTAGACTTAATTATTCTTTCAGCCAAACAAAAATTTTCATCCTCTGATCATAAAAACTATGTCACCAACAAATAAAGGGCATTGTGTTGAAGTCAAAGAAATTACTCTCAAATTATGACTCAAAGTTGAAAGAACATTTTGTAAGGATCGCTATGTTATTTTCTTCTCTAGAGAGACTGATCCAAATAATTGAATTCATCTTCTGGGAAATTACATCACAGAACATATAGTTACAAATAATAAAAATGCAAAGCCACTTGAAATTCTTAACAGCATTCCCAAAGCTTTGTACTCTGATCATTTATACAAATTGGTTAGACACATCAATGTTGAAGATGGTCAAGATGAAATAAATTTTTAGCTTTTGCTTTATTTCCCAAAAAAATTGCCTGAAACAACTACACAATGTTTGAAGATATAGCAATAGAACTCTGGTCAGTATGCATGATTGCTTTGAAGCAAAATGTTCAATTAATCCTAAGTTTTCATTTGTTCTTTGAGCATAGTATTCTCCAAAGATTCAGTTAATTTATTCTTACAAAGGACTAGAGACCCGGTGCACAAAATTTCTGCATGGGGGTGGGGAAGGTCCCCTCAGCCCAGCCTGCACCCTCTCCAATCTGGGACACCCTTGGGGGATGTCCTGGGGATCGGGCCTAAACCAGCAGTCAGACATCCCTCTAACAATCCAGGACTGCTGGCTCCTAACGGTTCACCTTCATTCCTGCCCGATCACCCCTAAATACCCCAACCTGCCAGTCTGATCACCCCTAACCAACTCTGCCTGCTGGCCTGATCACCCCTAACTGTCCCCCCTGCTGGCCTGGTCACACCTTACTACACTCCCGGCTGGCCTGGTCACCCCAACTGCTCCCCTTTCCTGGCCTTAGTCACCCCTAATGGCCCCCCACTGGCATGGTCATCCCTTACTGCCTCCCCTGCTGACCTGGTCACCTGCAACTGCCCCCCCTGCCAGCCTAGTCACCCCCAACTGCCCCTCTGCTGGCCTGGATGCCCCCAACTGCCCTCTCCTGACCTGGCCACCCCTAACTACCCCCCCCTGCTGGCCTGGTCACCCCATGCAGCCTGGTGTTAAGTCATTTGGTCATCCCTCACTAATCCCCTGCTGGCCTTGTCGCCCCACGCAGCCTGCTGTTTAGTCATTACTGTTACTGTGAAGGCATCCCAGACAATTTGCTTATTCCTCTATTATTAGTATAGATTTCCTCATTGTGATGTATTTTTTGGAATTTTTAAGAAATAAATCCATCCTTTCCAGTCTCATCTCAATGGAAAATGTTATAGAATGTAGATATAATCACCAAAGACTTTCTTAAAGGGTGGAGTGCTAATTTGAAGCTGTGTATAGGAATTAAAAAATGTTAAAGTTAATTCAACCGATGAAATCCTGGGCAATCCACAGAAAGTGTGGGCTTGTGAGGGTCAGCTCAGATGTTATTTTCTGCCATAAGTACCTTTCCTATATGATCTCTCATTGTAAGGTAAACTTTGAGTTATGAATATTACAAATAGCCACAATAAAACTCGAAATATTTACAGGGAAAGACCAATCTTTGAAATTAATCTTTGAAGACTGGCTCACAGAAAGAAGTGGAGACTATTAATTTCACAATAAAATGTAAAAACACTGAATGTGTGTAGAAAAAAATAAGTTCAATTTAATAGAAAAATGACTCCCAAAAGGATAAAGTATAAGGATGCTACATCATCATAAAGTATCATATAGATTGTCTGAATGACTCAATTGTGTTTTCTAACAACTGGATCATATTTCTAAACACCAGATCAAATGAAGTCAATGTATACTAACCGTTAGTGATTTTTCTCTAAAAAATTAAACTTCAAACATATTTTTTATCAAATGTAATAGAAATTTATGATGAATTATCTGGTGAAGATATTTTTGGACCACAAAAATACTGTAAGTATTATAAAATCAACCCTAAAGAAATAAAGATACAAATAAACTATAGGAATGTAGATTTTTATTTGAAATTTCTAATTTATTTATCTCTGCCAATCTAATTATTGTATTTAAGAAACTTTCTTTTGGATAATTGTCAAGTTAAGCTTTTTGAAAATAAAAAAATTATAAAATGATTTTTATCAATTATGAATGAAAAATTGAATATGATTATGCTATTTATGAAAGATCTGTATTGAAGAATACAGATTTTGAAAGATTCATTGAACTTTGCAGAACTTAAGGCTCAAAACTAAAATGTAATACTATCATTTACTACCACTATAGAACAGTATATATCCTATCTAATAAAAGAGAAACATGGTAATTGGCATACAACCGCTACCCTTCCCATTGGCTAATCAGGGCAATATGCAAATTAACTGCCAGCTAAGATGGTGGCCCGCAGCCAGGCAGCTTGAAACTAACATGAGGCTTTCTTGCTTCAGTGACAGAGGAAACCAACACCCTGAAGGGTGTGTGACCAGCTGCAAACAGCCATCATCTCCTCACACAGGCTGGCCAGGCACCCCAGTGGGGACCCCCACCCTGATCCAGGACACCCTTCAGGGCAAACCAGCTGGCACCCACCCATGCACCAGGCCTCTACCCTATATAGTAAAAGGGTAATATGCCTCCCAGCACCAGGATCAGAGGAGCCGGGGGCCTTCCAACACCTGGATCAGCATGACAGGGGTAAGCGCCCAAACCCTCTGATCGGCCCTGCACTTTGTGTGACAGAGTACGGCACCCCAACCCTCCTCCCCCATGGGCCGTGCTCTGTGTGTGATGGGGTAGAGCCATAACTTCCCCATTGGCCCTGCCCTGAGTGTGAGAGTGGCAGCGCCCCAACCCCCTGATCGGCCCTGCTCTGTGGGTGATAGAGAGCAGCGCCCCAACTCCCTGATGGGCCCTGCTCTGTGCATGACAGGGTACAGAGCCCCAACTCCCTGATTTGCCCTGCTCTGTGCATGACAGGGGGTGGCGCCGCAACCTCCCCATCAACCCTGCCTTGAGTGTGACAGGGGACGGTGTCCCAAACCCCCAATCAGCCCTACCCTGAGCATGACTGAGGGTGACATCACAACCTCCCGATCGCCCTGCTCTGTGCATGACAAGGGGTGGCGCCCCAACTCCCCAATCGGCCCTGCTCTGAGCCCAATCAGGGGCTGCACCTAGGGATTGGGCCTGCCCTCTGCCACCCGGGAGCAGGCCTAAGCCAGCAGGTCATTATCTCCCGAGGGGTCCCAGACTGTGAGAGGGTACAGGCCAGGCTGAGGTTACACCCCTGCCTACTGAGTGCACAAATTTTTGTGCACTGGGCCTCTAGTTTATGTATAAATAACTAGGGGCCCAGTGCACAAAAATTTGTGCACTGTAGGGTCCCTAGGCTTGGTTGGTGATCAGGGCTAATCAGGGCCTTCCTGTTGCCAGCCAAGCCCTTCCTTTGTTCCCCGACACCCCCTGGTGGTCAGCCCACATCATAGCAAGAGATCAAACTCCTTTTCTTCCAGTGGAACTCCAGAGGGGACACTTTGCATATTAGCCTTTTATATATGTAGATGAGTAAAAATATATATATATATATTGATTCTGGTAGTCAAATACACTAGTATGCTGTTGCCTTTTGAATCATTAAAACCATTATCCTCCCACATGGTTTTTCATAAGACCATACCTAACCTCAACCTAGATTTCAATACAGTATTATTTTTCTGACTAGCTATCTTTTCTATTGGACATACATTGAACACTATTTGAAAAATCCTCTGGTTTCAGCAACCAGATTCATGCAAGCCTCAAAAAGCCTTTACTGATGCAATCTCACAGAGCCTTGCATTAATTTGAGGATCTTGTTATGTGATTCCTTCCCTGGAGACCCATGTGAATGTCAGCTAGTCCTGCTGGCTTGGTGACCTGGAAGTATAAGGAATTAATGTCAACAGGGCCACCCTGGAGCAGTGAGGACGAAGAGTGTTTAATAAAGATTTCCTGTTATTTGTTTGGGTGAGCAATTCTGTGGTCCATTTTGTAAGGCTTCTCAGAAGGTCCTAGTGGGAAAGGTTAACACTTGCTCAAAAAGCTTCCAACTACCCTCACTGGTTTGGCTAAGTGGATAGAGCATTGGCCTGCAGACTGAAAGGTCCCAGGTTCAATTCCGGTCAAGGATGTACCTTGGTTGCAGGCACATCCCCAGTAGGAGATGTGCAGGAGGCAGCTGATCAATGTTTCTCTCTCATCGATGTTTCTAACTCTATCCCTCTCCCTTCCTCTCTGTAAAATATCAATAAAATATATTAAAAAAGAAAAAAAGCTTCCAACTCAAGAATACATTCTTATATTGGCTTTTCCTCCTTTCCTATTTCACTCCCCCACCCTGCATTCTACTTTCTACCTGGGATCACATTCTAAAATAAATTAGCCTTGCCCAGACAGTGTGAATCAGTGATTGAGCATTAACCTATGAACCAGGAGTCATGGTTCATTGATGATTCTATCTCTCTCTCCCTCTCCCTTCCTCTCTGAAGTCAATAAAAATATATTTTGAAAAATAAAGTAAAATAGAAAACTAGCCTCAGACAAGCCTTGATATGGTTCTGTTATCAGAGTGGACCTAAAGTTAAGGCACTTTTAACGTGTCATCTTCGCTGGGTCTTCCCACTGAGGTTAAATTGCATTAATTTATCATCATTTTTTCATGAGGGAACAGGAAGGAAGTCCTGGGTAGGGGACAGGAGTGGGGTGGAGGAGGTCAAATGTGGTGGTGGGGGGGAGACATCTATAATACTTTCGACAACAAAGTTATCTATACTAATAAAAGGATAATATGCTAATTAGACCGGGAGACCTTCTGGACGTCTTTCTGGACAAAGCCATGGTGGTGGGGCCGAGGTAGAGGCAGTTAGGGGCAATCAGGCCGGCAAGTGGGGGGCAGTTAGGGGTGATTAGGCCAGCAGGTGGAGTGGTTAGGGGCAGTCAGGCAGGCAGGCAGGTGAGTGATTAGGGGCCAGTGGTCCCAGATTGTGAGAGGGTGCAGGCTTGGCTGAGGGACAGCCTCCCTGTGCACCAGGCCACTAGTATTAAAATAATAATAATAAGAGTTCACTTGAAACTCACATAATTTTAAAGTTTTTACATTGATCTGTGCAGTCATCCACTCTAAAGCCTGTCTAGTTCTTCTGCAACGACTCAATTCAGCAATCACAATATGTTAATAGTTGTTTCTCAATTGCTGTTGTAAAGCTGGCTCTCAATCTGCTGCTTTTAGAGGTCCCATCTCACATTTCAATAGACCTCATCCTTCTCTGGAATAGTCATTCTAGTTTGCTCTTTCAGCTCTGTATCCTCTGTTAGATACTGTTGCATTTTTTTACCATGTCCAAATTTAGAAACAAGTTTGATAGATAAGAGTCAGAATGATAGAGATTAAATTAATCTTTATTTTAATTATAGGTGATTTTGTAGGATATAGCTTCAGTATGTTTTAATAATATCTTTCCTAGTAATACAGCCAGTGCACATCAATAAAAACTGAAATAAAAACCAGAATGTAAGAAAAAGAAGCCCACCAAACTATATAAAAAGCTGCCAATCTCTGTTTGAATAAAACTAAAAGTAAACGTTTTAAATTTACACCTTTTAATGCTGCCTTTTCTCATCTATACTAATAAAAGGGTAATATGATAATATGGAAGACCTTCTGGACAGAGCCACAGAGGCTGCGAAGGGCCCAGGCTCAGGCCAGCAGTGACAGCAGCAGTGGGGTAGTGGGGGCAGCGCCTTCCCCTGATCTGCCAGGTCAGAGGCCAGACTGCAGCTTAGGCCAGGGGTTGAGGCAGAGGTGGTTAGGGGCAATCAGACCAGCAGGGGATCAAGTTAGGGTCAATCTGGCCAGAGGGGGGCAAGGTAGGGGTGATCAGATTGGCAGGGGGGCAAGGTAGCGGTGATCAGGTCAGCAGCCAGAGGCAGTTAGGGGCGATCAGGCAGGCAGGCAGAGGAGTTAGGGGCGATCAGGCAGGCAGGCAGGAGAGCAGTTAGGAACCAGCAGTCCCGGATTGTGAGAGGGTGCAGGCTGGGCTGAGGGAATTCCCCCTCCCCACCCACCCTCGTGCACAAATTTTGTGCACCGGGCTTTGGGCCTCTAGTATTTTAATATTATCCTTGGAAAGTCTAAGGCCATTTGCTGCAGGATATCAGGACAGAGGGACTAGGGAAACTGAGATAAGGAAAGTTAAAATAAGGCAAATAGTGTGGGCAATTTGCAGTCAGCTTGCAAATAACAAGACATTATCTTCCCCAGCAAATGACATGAGGGCAAATGGTTAAAAGCCTCCCTAACAAGAGAATGCAGGAAAGTAGCAGGGAAGGGAAAAGGGAAAAACAACAACAAAAACAGTTTTACTCCCTAAGCAGAGAAGCCAGCAGTCTCAACGCTTGGCAAGATAAAGCTGCCAGGTGCTTCTCAGGAGTTCTGGGAAGGCCACAACAAAGTTAAAAGAGACCTTGAGAATTAATCTGTACCAAAATATTCAGCAGATAAATTTTCATACCAAAATATTAAGCAGAGGAATTTTAAGAGGAAGGGACATAATGCCTCGGACCCCCACCCAAATTGTACTTCAGATTAGTTGAGAGCCTGCCTGTGCTTCACAAACCAGATGCATAGATTTGCTTGCCTTGCTTCTTTCATAAAGGTACATGCTTTAATAAAATTGGCTTAATCACAATGCAAGCAAGTTCTCACATATAAATTCGTTTACATGAGAAGACAGGCATCGAGGTTGGGGACAGCCCTCGCCCTCTGACTCAGGGGGCTGTCCAATATCACCTCTCTGGTGATCGAATGGTTCCTCTAACACATTGATTATAGAACTTTAATTTTGTCCTGTGCAACAAAAGGTATTGTTGAAATCTGTAAAGAAAATATTTTATCTTCTAGACCGACTCTTTTGAGAATATTAGGCTTGGGGAATTCTTATGGGAACATAAAATGACTTTTGTTTTCTCAAGTGCTTTCTCTCTATTGCTTCTCTTGAACTCCATCGTAATCTTGAGGACCCTCTTTGCTTCTTAATGAACCCTTGTTTACAGAGATTGATGCAACTTTTGACTTTGAAAAAAATCAGATCTATACAAAAAGATAAAATAGAAAAAGAAACATGAACACCTAGAGAGACATGAATTAACTCTCAGCTGGCTGCAAATTGTGAATCTTTGTATTCATCTTCTGAAAAACACTACTCAATCAAGTATTTTTTAAGTAAGATTAGATGTGCATATCTATTTAAAAGATCAAGTATTATGATTGGAATTGTTTTTCTTCATTGTCTTGAATGTAAGGATTCTTTTTATATTAAGATGACTCCATCCTAATATCATCCTTATAGCAAATTCTAGTATTCTGTTAGCATCTTATTTCTGTATTTAACATTTCTGCCCTATCTATTTCTCTCTACATATATTTATTTGTATTAAATTGATCATTTCCTGACACTGGTCAATTTTTAATTTCCCTATTTGGTAAATTTTGCCCCCTTTCCCCACTATTTTCTTCAAGATATAAAATGAATCTATAAAAAATGAGCAGATCCCTCCCCTACCCCCGCAACCAGTTCAGTCTCATATACAATGTGGCAGGCTTTGGTTGAAGGTCATTTGGATTTTGAGAACTTAAATCACTTGTACACACAAGGGTTAATATTCATGTTATCATGACTTCACTAATTTTACACTTACTCTTGCTGTTCCAGAAAATTATACCT